CCCCCCCCCCCCCCGTTTGCAGTCGCTGGAAGTGAAGGATGAAAGCAGGGAGGAGACTGAAGGAGCAGTTCGTTGGTGAGCCCTAAGGGCTCATTCTCTTAGTCCTTTCAAATACACTCTAATTCGGACCCCGCTCAATGTTCCATCCTCAAATAAAAGTGTGAACACGTGGCTTTTTCATTGTGCTCCAGAGAGAAGCTAACACCTTCAGAAGGACTGGCTCTATTAATACACTAACTGAAAATGAAACACAAATCACAGTCCAAGCCTTCCCCTTAGGTTTGGCTCCCTCAAGGCTTACTCGGTCTCATCCCCCCTCTCTTCGCAGAGTCACTCCCATCTCCCTTATATTTAGGATGGAACTAAATGAGCCATTTCCAACCATGAGTTGCAAGGATTCAGCTTCCCTCTTTAGGAACCGCACCTGCTAACTAAAAAAGATAAAACTTTCCTCTATATTAAAACAGCATCACATACTGTATTGGTTTTATAGGACATTTGGGAGGCATCTGGCCTAAAATCAATGATAACTTTTTTTTGTTACTCTCATTAGAAATCCCACAAGATGGAAAAATCAATCAGCTGTACTCTTCCTTTCTAGCATCAGTAACTCCCCCCCTCCACAATAGACTTCTGATTTGCACAATTAATTTTGCTGACAAGCACTGCTTTCATGTCAGCTGCTTACTAGATGCATTGCTTTTCTATACAGTCTGAATGGGGCTGCAAGTTCCATATATATAGATCATCCTTTAGGAGTTTTCAATTTTTTGCACTCGCATTACTTTCGTTTACTTTATTTTATTTCCTATTTAGAAGAGTATAAGACATAAAAAAGTGCGAACTGGAAAGCATTACAATTATACAAACTTTCTTGCCTATTTAAAGAATGGCTCAGAATGGCCCTCCTATGTGCTACAGTAACAGAAAAAATAGCACGAAGCAAAATAATGAGGAGCGTCTTAGAATCTTCAACCCTCCCCCATAAGGTCCATATTTGGTTAGATTAAAAGTATTGGGCTCAACAGCGCACACTACTGAAAGATCAGCGACTTTAAAAAAGAAATATAAACTCGTTATACACCCAAGATGTGTGGGACAAGACTTGCTTCACAAATAATGTGATCAAGATTAGCAACTTGAGGTGCAGTCTTACACAGATGTATATACAGTGTTACACAGACATTTATGTATCGCATGATAAGAGAGCTTCTATACACATACATATATTTAACGATTCAATGTTTTCTTACTTTGAAAAATGCTCTGATTATAATTATGATTGCAATGATATGCAAGAGAAATCACCTAGTGGCTCTGTAAATTAGCTAGTTTACAGCAAAATATTATTACTTAGGTATCTTAATGAAGACAAATTCCCAGCTCCGGTATTTTCTTGTAAAGTAAAAGATGCTAGGTCTTGTTCCTGAAATTGGTCCAATGTGGGTGGACCCTTCTGGAGGACCACTCAAGTCAGTGGGTATTCATACAAGCATAGAGGTCTTACCCATTCAGCTCTTTCTTTTTTTTTTTTTTACTGAGGTTATAGTTTACTGGGCTAGTCTGCAGGTGATCATTGTAAGACATCAACTGAACAGGATTTATGAGTATACCTTACAGTGACTTTATTTTATAAAATCATATTTAAGCTGAACACAGCCAAATTTAGACTCCTTATCTCCTGAACAAAGGTACCTTGATAAGATGTCCCATTAGACTGCAAAATGTTCAGCCTCCTATGTTCCATTCAATATTTGCAATTGTTTCTTTTATCACAGATATAAGACATGCCTAAGCCTGCAATCATATCTCTCTTCTCTTCTATGATATCAGTCTTCCTTGATTACAGGATATTACAAATACAAGTTGTAACTTCTCATCCTAATGAGGAGAGAGAACATACACACAGGGCTTATAAAACCTTGACTGACTGCTTCAAATTACCGAAAGATTCTACCACACCTAAATAGCTACAATTATATTCTTTTGTAAGCCTTTTGATATTTGATCCAGTTCAATTGTGGGGTCTTTGTCAAGAGAATAATACTTTTGATAAAATATACACGCACATACAGGGAACTGTATTCATAAAATAACTGCTGCTGTAATTGTATGATCAAGCTAAGACACTTCCAAGAGACAGATTTTTGCAAATTGTTGATCTCAAGTAAAGCAAAATGATAAAATTCATCAGAAGCATAGTACTTTTTTGGAAAAAAACAAGCAGTGTGATTTTAACTGTAGTAGTTTTGCCACATTTTACTCAGAGAAAGTTAAACCAAAATGAAAGAAGGCAAGTTAGTCATTTTCTTGTTAGTGGTATTTTGAATGGTGAAATTCTAACCACATACATTGCACAGTCAATTTTAAAGAAAGGTTTCCTATTAAAGTTTAGGGCAAGTAAAAACTTAGGATAAACAGAAAGAGTTCTGTGTTCATTTGCAAAATGTTAATGAAAACACAACACACAATAGCAAGAAAGACAGAAACAAAGCACTGCACTCTGTAAGCTAAACAAACATTACACTGTAGCACTGAAATTCAAATCAATATTGCTGTATCTTGCAGATGAATGACAACTGGTAAGCAAAACCAACAAAGCTCTTTTTAACTGAACAGCAAAGAATTAACAGTGAAAACTAAATAAGACTTCAAAATGTTTTACTTTAAAAATTCAATCCAATCTCCCACTGACTTCAATGGAAATCAAATTTCAGCCACTGTTTATGAAACACTGGGTGATCCAAACTCTGCTTTAAAAAATTACAACTGTTTAGTACTGTACACTACAGTATAGAAAGTATAGATACGTAATTAATAAAATAATCCTGTCCTTGTTCAACCTCAAATATCAAATTATGGGACAAGGTTGAAGTTACCAAAAAAAAGAATCCCAGCCTACAAATATGAATTACTATATTCATAGTGCCACCAGAAACAACTGCCCATATATATGGATGATTCAGACAGTCAGACACTGTATCAGACATACAGTCACAGAGGTCTGTTCAGTAGTGTATCTAGTGAGCACAATACTTACTATCAAAGAACTGAGTTGTTCCCCATTGGAATCAGGAGTGACTTGGAGCCTTCTGTTCAATTCATCAGACAGCTCCTGGGGACTGGTCCGAGAAACTGGAGAGGCTGGGGGCGGTGGCAAGGACAGGCTTAAGGAATCTCCACTTGCACTCACTTCCTCTGAAATAGTTTCCCAGGGCTGACAAAAGGGAAAGGAAAAGATGATAGCAAACATTTACCACTGCAAGTCTCTCCTAGCTGACCCATGCTCTTGCAGCAATACATGCATTTTAATTGCTTTGTGACAAGTCTCCACTGGGCTATCAGTGGAAATAATGAAGCAGACATATAACCTGGAGTACCTTCAACGCTGCCTACAATATCACTAGCATGTGCTAATCAGTTCTGCTGTTTAAATATTGCATAATTGACTTCAGAAGGAAGGATGGATGGACAGACGGACAACTACAACCTCTGCAATAAGGCCAAAGGTCACAAGAAATGAAAAGAGTGGTAGCTATTCTAGTGACAATATTCCCCATAGTGCTACAGAAACCATGGTTTGGGTATAAACATACAAATCAAACTAATCAGCTGTAGATGAAAGGGCATTAAAGTTTCATTAAATGTATTCCCAGTGGAACTAAATTTTATTAATTTTTCCTTCTACTGTTTGAGTTTGTTTTAAAACATGACCACAATCTGCACTGAAATGGGATTAACATACAGACTTATTG